GCGAATAATAATCACGATGAGGTAAGAATTTTCGGCAGCTCATTTACGTAAAAAATAATAACAAGGAGCCTAGGACAGTTCCTTGACGTAATCCACGCGACGCCGTTTTCCATCTTGACAGTGCACCACTAATCCTTACATTTTGCTTTCTACCCAGTGGGTATTCCCTAAACCACTCATATACGCACTGCTTTAATCTAAAAGCTGTCAGCTTACTGAGAAGACCTGAGTGGTTGACTTTATCGAATGCTTTACTAAAATCGATAAAACAACGTCATATAGCAGGATTTTATCCCTGGCCTCTACTCTATCTCCTCTAGCCAACAAACAATATATTAATTACGCTGGATCGTCGTGGTTAGAATCCATGCTATTCCTCCGTCAGTAAGCCATGTATATCCATATGGGTCTAATAGCTGATGCCTTATGATTGTTTATAATACCTTTTCTATAATGCATGTCAGACTTACCGGTTAGTAGTTTGATAGCGAACTTCTGTTCCTTAATTTGCAGATGAGGCTTATAATTACATCCTTCAAGTCGCTGGGTAGCCTAGGATACTTCTCTCGTTTGATGGGATCTAGGAAAGCTAATAACTGCTTCTGAATGACCTAATAGGCATATCGTTATACGATATAACCATGCAACATATAGACATTAGATTCTATCTTGTCTTGCTTCCACTACTGATGGTCTTATATCTGAAAAATTCTGTTGACTGACTAAATTTACAGTGGTACTTCGCACGAAAGTGTTGTAGTTCCGTTTGTTGCAATTTAGACAGCACACAAACTAGAAAAAAATAATTAAAGGAACTATAATGAATGGAAATGTGCCGAAAAAGTAATAATTAAGTCGAGAATCATGAACATTAAGTCAATCTGGAAGATTACAAAGAGAATCATTTTAAACCATGGCACTAACGGTCCCCAGCCATTCGTTCTTAGTGTCAAGAAGACAGCAACCGGGTTTTTGATAACCCCTACCTACTTCATACCATCCGACAAAAATTTAGCTGAGTGATGCCAGATTTTAATTTAATTTTAATTGGGCATTCGTAACACGTAGCTCAGCCATCTCAATCGATGCACTTTCATAACCTTATCGATCATCTTACTCTCTTTACCTAATACTCTACTCCTAACCTCAAGATTACTCACCATACATACTATATTACTTAACACGGGAGATAGAACTAGCCTCACTACTTCGTCCATTATCAACGGCCATGTCACACCCATAGGGAATGACAGTGAGAACCGCTGCATCAGAGATGACGTAAGTTGGTAAGTCCCTCACCAGCCTTTTGTATCTGTGCTGAGATTATGTCGAAGAGCAGTCGAAGCGCAGTCCAACTCCGCGAACAAGTGGTCAAGACGCTCAACCACTCCATCCTCCATTAATAAAGAATTGGTGCAGACCAGTCATGCAGCATCATTTTACATTTCACAGGGGCGAATCGCATGCCAAACATACTAAGGTTTCTGCCCAAGGTGTTCAGAAGACTAAGTTTATCAGCGTTTTCAACTAGAAGGTCAATATCATACGAATATTCTAAGCTAACAAGAGTGTTCTGTGGTAAAAAGTCAATCCTCAAGTAGCTAAAGTTAATTCGACTACTACATCTATGATGAAACTAGACAAAAATGAGGGACAATAAACATCCCTGACAGGTACTACTGGTTGTCATCACTTCAGATGACAACTGTTCATTAACTCGTACACGGCTGTATGTGTTCGAGCAGAGTCCTTTTACATTCTCGGTCATCCCTTCACGGCCAAACATTGCCATAGTACCTCTCAGCCAACGGAGTCAAATATCACCTTGAGGTCCAGAAATATGGCAATTGTTGGATTCCGGTATGACCATATTCCATAGATTGTTGAAGGGTGAAGATATGATCAGTGCACCATCTTCGTGGTCTAAAGCTTGCCTGGTTTTCTCTGATTTGTTTATCTCTAGTACCACTCAATCTACGCACGATTATTGAGCCTAGAATTCTAGGTCAAGCTAATCCCTCTATGATTATCAGAGGAAGACTTGTCTCTCTTCTCGTATACTGGAATTATCAATGACTTCGACCAGCCCGACGGGACCATTTCTGATTTTCAGGCATTGCCTGATACCTTAGTTAACCCGGACAGTGATATGTCACCGCAGTCCTTAAATATCTCTGGAGTCATTTCATAGGATCCTGCTACTTTACCTTTCAGGATAGAAACAGTCTTCGTAACCTCATTTACAGATGGAGGACCGATGTCCATATCCCCCACAGATGGGTGTTGGATTCTTGACAAATTTAGGGTGGCTGTAGGCCAGCTGAACCGCTCCTCGAAGTGTCATCTTCAACGTCCTTGTCCTCTTTCCTTAAAGCATAATTCTTTTCGGAAACTGTTTCCAATGTCACTGATTTTGTAAATCCCATTACCCCGATGGGTGTAAACAGTTGTCTGGTAGTAGCACAACTGATGCCTGTTTAATCGCTTCGGACTTTGTCACACACTACTGTCCACGGTCGTTGCAGGGATTTTTGTTCAGCTTTTGATTCGTCATATTCGGAACCCATCGGAAGTAATCTCGAATCTATTATATCGGATAAAGCAGAAGAAATCTATAGAAACTTACTATGCTGTGGTTACAGATTATCAGCAGCCTTTTCCACTGTTTCCTACAGTTGACTGGATATAATACTAGATTTCCTGAGGATGAGTATTCCTATCAATCTCCGATACACATTTTAGCCATCAAGAAGCAGGGAGCGTGTCGGTATCATAGCTACCTGTTTCCTATGTCCATTTAGTCGTAGGTATATACTATGTTCACGGACTACAGTGTGATAGGAGTCTGAAGGAACGGCAGAGATCTACCGACCCTATTAATAGATAACCTATAGCTAACGACGAACAGACGACGATCTGAACAGAAATGTAGGGGACGATCACCGTTATCCGCTCGTCGGTATAAAACTCTGTAAGTGCCACCAATATACTTTTCTAACTGACAGAGATTCCTCATTCCAGCATTGAAATCACCTGTTGACATAACCGTACCTAAGTATTTTGCTTTTAGTAGCAAACTAGGATTTTCAATAGAATTCATCTTAACTACAGTTTGTTGGTTTTGGGGACGGCGGCGAGGTGGGCGGGGAGAATTATGACAAAACATCGGCGATTGTCACTGATAATGTGAAGCATTGTTGAAATACATAAAAGCCGATTCCAAATTACTGTGTGAACACTGACACAGTAAGGTTGAAATGATAAAATCAAACCTAAGCCATCATACAATCCTCACAAAATTAATGAAACAACAATAAAAGTATTGTAGTTAACGTAAAAAGAAAAAAAATTAATTATAGGAAGAAAACTTTAAATATTTATAACAGCACATAACAATATAGTGTAGGTCAATTCAGTTTTAATATTATTGTCATTAGCACTAGTCCGGTTATAGAATCATACGTGTACACATAAATAAAGAGTGAAGGGACAATCAGAAAAGAATTATCATTCTTTTCGATTGTGCTGCAACAAAAAGGCACAAACTGTCATTATGTAAGCATACGACTAACAACACAACAACCAAAACACAGCACTACGCATAAACGCACACACACACACACACCAGACATTTAGCTACTTCACTGATGTCGTAAATAGTAATAATAATAATAGTAACAGTAATAATAATAACAGTAATAATAATAGTAGTAATAATAATAACAATAATAACGAGTAAAAGAGAAAACAAAAATTTACGATCAGTCGACAGGAAGAAATGTATTCGAAAAATACTCCTTTAAAAACTTTTCAATATATTACTTCTTATCTTATTTGTAATATCACTACCATACATATATATATATATATATATATATATATATGCGACAATTTGGGGAAAGAGAAGAATGTCTAGGCTGCTTATTTTATTTCTATAAAATACCACTATAGCAATTCATTTATGCATATACGTGACAATACACCTCTGTGTGTCTATACTTATCTCAGAATGCTGGCTACAGGCATTATAATATATAGAAAAACAAGTGTTAACATCAGGTAATTAAAAGGACGGGAGAGAAAAAGGGGAACAATAAAAAAGCAAAGAATAACTAGTACCTGGGATCAGATTGAATAGTAAGCTGTTACACCACCCCACTAGCCAGCCAGCCAGCCATTTTCTGAGATGATCAATCTAAAAGTAGATGTCAAAACAGAGACAGTATAACTTGGCTCTTTTATTTGCCTTGTTTGAATTTAGTCAACAGTGTAGTAGTCATGCTGGTTAGTTACTTGCTTACCTTACCTTAATGTTTTATAATATATTTCCAGAAAGACATGTAGATTATTAATTTTACGCAAACATGCTATCGATACAACGGAACAAATATATCTTGAGGTTACAGGTAGAACTGAGGACTACAACTCTCCACCAATGTATATATATATATATATACGATATGGACTGGAATGCAAGAATAAGGCAGCTTCTTTTATTTTCAGTTAATTAGTAGTAGTATGTACTATTTTTTTTTCACAGTACTAAATAAAACAGAACAATATTTGATAATATAACAAGTCGTACACAAATAAATTGACGTATACAATTTCCCTGAAACAGTATTATTGTTACTAGTAGTAGTGGTATTGGCAGTAATAAATTTAGATCGGTTTTTATATTATACTGGTGGAATCTTCCGAATAGTTTCTCACATAAATTGAACAACAAAAAAGCTACCAGTAGAAGACATTAAGAAAGAGAAGAAGGAGAGTGAAGGAGGAAGGGGAAGGGGAAGAGAATATAAGTGAGGAAAAAGAACAACAAGAAGAATAACATTGGGAGAGAAAAGTTGTGTAGTCAAGTAGGATAACATAGTGTAAACAAACTACAGAAAATATCCATTTACGTGGACAAGTTTTTTTTTAATATATTATTATATATATAATGTGTGTGTGTGTGAAACACAATATCATCATTCTTGAAAAAGGAATTCATTTCATTATACACGATATCCATTCTGTCGAGCACGTAGATACTCTGTTGCATGCACACTGAACTTTTCACTGCGATATCGAGTGAGCCTAATCGACTGTCGAAGTGCATCATTGATTGTACCACGGTAACCACCTTTTCGTAGAAGTGAATCAATAGTTTCACAATGGTTCCAACCTTAACAGGATAAAGTGAAACAATATGTATATAGTTAAACGGAATATACGGGTGATAGTTAGCGACGGGGGTATTATACTCGCTATGTGTTAATAATTTTGTGCGTCGGTGATTCAGTGATAGGCTGCTTACCAACCCCACACGCATGTGATCTGCTGCTCAAATCTTCATCGACGCAGTCTTTAACCTTGTTTAGCCGGCATAGTAAGACAGGGAAAGAAGGACGGTTTGGTGTGAGGCTAACCACCCTACCACTGATATTGGGACTTCAAAACTTGAAGTCCTATGGGAATAAAATCGAAATAAAATTGTTAATTACGAAGAAATTAAGAAAATCAGTTCAAAGAACTTTTAATGCTGGCGAACTACACGTATTATTCTCTACACGACCGATGGTGCTACCTCCACTGAAAGATGAAGTACCTAGACTAGCCACTTCAAATTGTATCCATCAATTCAACTGCGCTTGTGGAGCGAGTTATATCGGCCGTTGCTCTAGGAACTTGATTTTTCTTTCTCGAGAACATATCCCACTATGGCTAAGTAAAGGTGTAGTTAAAACTATTATTAGCTCGATATTAGACCATCTGGTGCAAACTGGTCACAAAGTCAGCCAGCGTAGAAGAATCCTTCTCTATATACTATATACCGGATGCCTAATAAATTACCAAAATCGTTGAAGCACCGCATACTCCAAACAGCAGAGGCTATTGCAATTCGCCTCAAACAACCAGTGCTCTGTGTTCAAAAGAAACAAGTCCAGCCCCTATTACTGCCCTGGCCCTCAGTAGAAACTATAAACTCATAAATCTGTAATATTACCTTTCCTAATTCTCCTGACATTCAGTTTATTTTATGTTGATGCTGTTCAGCTGTAATCTATCAATATTATTGATTTGATGTTATTTAAACATTAGTGTCGTTCATAAGACTAATTCATTCATTCATTATAATGTATATATAATTGTAGAACCTGATGATGAATTTATCGAAAAGAGTACTCTTTGTTCCGTGTCAATTCTTTTGAAAATTTTAATGGGTATTTTTAATCAGTTAAAATTGTTTATACTTTTGATTTTTAATGAGCAATAGGAATTCGCCTTGTTGGCGTTCATATAGTATTAAAACGAAAAAAGGTTCCTAAAGATAAGCCTTTTGAACAACATAGAGGAAAACAATATCAGAAGAAATACACCACCACAAATATTCAAGACTTTAGTAAAGCTAACAAAAATACTGATGTATTGACATAATATGCATCGTGTATTCAACGATAATACCTGGTTGTCCAAACGCTAATTGATGGATCACATTTTGAACCTGTGATATCAGTTACAGTTTCAAACAAATCATACACTGGTACATCACACCAGAAAGATATTAATGCTCAACACATCAGCCAGTTTAAAACGTAAGCTTCTTAAAGGTTGACATTCATCGTTTCCATTATGTTACAAGTATGCCGAAAGAATTGAGCAGAAATTCTTCTACAATCTAGAGAGAATTAACTACATCAAAAACAAATGAGTATCAACAAAAGCCATACTTATTTGTTACACCAATTTCGGAGACTAAGTAACCAATAATTTTTTCATTCGTTGAGTTCTGAGTAGAAAATAGAGCCTCCAACTTTGAAGTTACTTAAGGGCCGGGTTACCAGCCTTGCTAATACAACCTTCCTTTCTTTTTGGGCTTACTACAGACTGATAAACTAGGCAAAGTTTAGGAGTACATCCTCCAGGGATCGAACCTAGAACACTCAAGTTGAAGCAACGATGCACTATACTTTACGATCTTTACGGTTAGCTAGTCGATCCTTTAGGGGTGATGAAACTCCCGGAATAAGTAAAATAGTCAAAACACTCAAACGCTTCACCCCGTATCTTCAGACAAAAGGTGCAGTCCAGTCGTGCAACATCTTATATTTCACAGGGACGAATCACATACCAAACATTTGAAGACTTTTGCTTAAGGTGTTCAGAAGACTCTGGACTTTATCACAACCTTGATCTACACGGACTATATAATCTATACACTTAAAATCAACGGGACTCCTCACTGAGTAGATAAAGTCGATTAGGGTTACATCTATTTGTACATCTATGATGGAATTTTAAAAAAAAATGGGAAATAATGGGCATTTCTGATGGATACCGCTGGTTTCCACCACTTTAAATGACAATACTCCGTAAGCTCTAGTATAGCTGTGTCAGAACGAGTAGAGTCTAGACTGATACGATATACTTTTTCAGCACTCTCTTCACAAATAGACATTGCCTTACCAATGCTCCATCGACGGAGTCAAATTCCACCTTTCAGTTAAGAAATATAGCAAGTGCTGGACAACCGTAAGTATGAATATGTTCCAGAATCTGTCGAAGAGTGAAAATTTGACCAATACACCGTCGTCTAGATATGTAGCTTGTCTGGAGTATCGCTTAGTCTATGTATAATTATTCAACTTATTACCCTATCCCCCTCTATATGCCCGTCAAGTCACGTCACTGGTACTAATCATAGCGAAGTGTACAAAAGTATATTTGGTTGGAAGGTTATGGTTAATGCAATATTAGGGAAATGAAAGAATGAAGGCAAGTACCAAGCTAATCACCATTCATGAAACCAGCTGTACTACTGCAACTGAGATGAACTTGTTGTTCAAACAATGTTCGATTGCTGACTGTAAAACAGTAGATTTGAAGACACCACTCCTAATTTTTTCTTAAAAACAATGATCTATTGACTGAATAACTGGTAAACTACCATAAATAATCCATCTTAAATTATCATACATATTATGCGCTGCTAATCATAAACATGCAGTATCCGTTTTAGTTTCCTGAACATCCTGAAACAAGATGGCTAAGACAAGATTTAGGTGTTTAACCACCGATTCTCACAGTAATTTATCCTCCTATGTTTCCGCCAGATAGACTGCATTATATTTCCGCTAAAGATCTTTTTGGTCTGTATTCATAATAGTCCTTGAAGTTTCCAATACTCGTGGTCTCAACCACATAAGAAAGTATAGATTTTTCGCTTACACTTGTATAGAAGGTTGGCGACATTATTCAGCCACCCAGGCTGAAGTAGGCAGGTCACGATTTGAACGCGAAACGCGTTGGCTGAAACAGAAGTGTTTACGCTCATGAATTGCATCTCCATATCCATACGAAAACATCAGAATACTGTAACAGTCATGTAATAAACAACACCAACTCTGAGATCACTTTCAACTTAACAAAGAATTTTTCTGGTGAATATCAGCCAATGAAACAAAAACCATTAAAATAGTTATAAGATTAGAAATAACATAAAATTATAATACTTCATCAAATCTTACGAAAAAAAAACAGACATGAGTTCACCTTGTTTGTATGCAACTTCTGGCAAATATGTAGCAGTACGATGGTAACCTTTTTCATTGACAAATTCAATTCGAATTCCATGAACACCAATCTATTGAATGAAGAAAGTGCACCATAAACGACTATTTCTCATTTGAATTAAATTTATTTGTGACTTATTTTTACCTCTTTGAGGAAATAAGGAAAAAGTAACAAATTCATGAATTTTGTGTTGGTTAGTACCGTTTGGATAGTGGGTTTCCTGATCAGAATTCATAAGACTACAACAATCTATCTATAATTAGAGACTTATGTGTGATACGGTCCCAAACCGTTTGCAGCGGCTCAGACACGATCAGACCTTCAATATTTTTTTTTTGGTTTTTATTCTTCCTTCCTTCGTCTTTTAGCATACCGTGTAATTATGGAGTTTAACAGTATGTGTTCGGAACACCAGCCTCAGTGGTTTGGCATGTGCTACAAGTGTCATTGCAGCAATTCACTGCTTGTTAGCCGTGGGACCAGTGGCACAGAGAGAAGTGGTCAGTCCTTAAGATGTTGTGGTAGTGTGAAGAATAGTTATGTTGGGTTAGCATTTGTTGATGCATCAAGATTACTCGGGTGGTTTCCAAGATCTCATGCGACTGAGTGGTTCGAGAAATTAATGCATGGAGATCACAATCAAAACCAAATGGTGAAAAAGTTGCCATTTCCTCATTCTCAAAATGAACTTAACTGGACTTTCAATGTAGAAATTCAGGCAAAAGTGCAGTTGTTCAAGCTACTACACCTTGTAAAGCACACACAAAGAAACAATAAAGATATGCAAAGAAACTATAATAAACGGAAATGTACGAGGAGAAGGAACAAATACAAGGGAATTAATGAGGGTTTAATGGACCTGGGAAATCATACAGAGTAAATGCATCTACATTTTTTATTTTATTTTTATTTTTATTACAGCTTGATGCCACACTGCATTTTCAGTACAAGTATGGAATTTTCAGCATGGATATCGGTAGCCCAAATTTTGCAGGCCGACCATAGATATCGGGTGTGCGTCGGCAGGAATAGAACCCCGGACCATGTGCATGGTCGGCGAGAGTCCTAACCACTGTGCCACCGACGCACATCAGTGAAAACGATTTCGAACCATTTCACCAAAAATCTCTATCTTCTCTGAGTTTCGAGGACTTTCATCAGGTAGTATACGCCTTCCTACATGGTTCCCACTAACAGTCAAATGCTTTTTGTAGTGATGCCAGGTTTTGACTTTGTTACCCCTAACTCTTTCATGAAAGTAATGTGAAGCAGTGAATTCCCTATTGAATGATGTTGATAATTACGCTGAAGTTTTTTCATACTGTTATTCCTAAATCACTGTATTGCTCTTTTCCTTAAGTTGTTTTCCTATTTTATGTGGTGCATCTCTCAAGACTACAATTCAGTAGCTTTGAGTTTAAAATAAAGTAAGGTCACTAATTGTTTGGTGCACAGTCACCTTCCAGACACTAGCCTCACAAATCAACGAATCTAAAATACATAATCAAAATGCATCGGTGTGATTTTCAGCATCTTCAGGTAATTGTACAAGACGACGAATAAACAAGCAAGGAAATAATAGTGGTGACATACGAGATACTAAACATCAGTTTAACCTACCACGCTTTACATCACGACAATGAGCCATATTTATTGTGAGTTAATGATGCTACCTGACGGGCTTCAAAACCATAGATTGCTGACTTGAAGTCGATAGGCATAATTTCAGGTGCGATCAACAGCGTTAAAAAATAACTAAGAAATAAAGAAAGTCGAGTATTGAAGTAAACAAATCGAAACAAAAAGGTAGAGCATTAAGGCACAGGTTTAGCCGGTCACTGATCAGAAAATTTAACTTCGACACGTAATAAGCAGAAATAAATTACGAGAACACAGAGGAGAAGGAGATAAATGGATCCTTCGGCAACGGTGCCATATGGACTAATAAGTATTTTTAAAAATTGACCTGATTCGGTAAGACCAATTACATCTGATGGATGAATAGACGAATTTATTAAAGACTGTCACGTTTTTTTGCTTTGGAAAAGGACACATTTATAGAAATCATACTGTTTATATTAAAGTTTTCATTTCACCTAATATTACCAGTACGAATGTCTTCGTTTTCCGCATGGATGATTTCCATAAGGCTTTCCGTTAGCCACTACTCTGATCTGTCTGACGACTCAGAACAAAGATGCGTTGAGGTCGCCAAACTTCAAAGAATACAAACGAGGAGACAACAGGACATATTGCAACTTATGATGATGCATGTGACGGAGAATAGTTAAATAACGACCAGTGAAGCTTATAAGAATGTGAATGTGATAAACAGTTGGTACACATCCGAGCAACTGTACACTATTTCAAACTATATTGCTAAGGCCTTCCGCCCACAGACCCTTACTGTCTCGAGGATCCAAGTCAGAGAATGTACACCTGCCATTACTGTCAAGATCAGAGATTACTGAATATTTGAAGTCCTGTTTCACTCTGACAGACCTAACGCTTCTAACCTAGTCCTATTATAACGCTGCTCATGAAACAAAAGGCACTGCTTTTGGGTTCATGATAGCCAACTCAGTCAATGGAGATTCATGAACTCATTGAGTGGTTTACCCTCACCAAACATTACGTCCAAATTCACTAATGTTTTAGCTAACGTAAACAAGTGAATGAAGACGCCAATGGTTCAAAACATCGTTACACACTTAAAGGAAACAGCGACCGAGTAAACAGAATACAAGTGTTGACAGATAGTCTAATAGTACCGACTGACAGGTTTCAACGTAGAAATTTGCACAGGTGTGCAGCAGTTCGAGTTGCCACACTCCCTCCATGTAGCACACAAAGCAAGAGAAGAGAGTAAAGGGAGGTTCAAAACAGAGACAATAAACAGGAGTATGAGACAAAAGAATCGTAATATGGAAGAACAATAAAACTTTATTGGATATTATAAATCACAAAGAGTGGATGAATTTGCGCCATCATTGAGAACGATTTTAGGCCATATCAACAATTGTCTCCAGCTATTGGCTCTTACCATACCGAGGACCCCAACCAGCCAAGAAGTCTACACCTTCCTATATGACTGGCTGGCTTAAACTAACTGTTGTGCATTTCATTGAACAATGAAGCCATGTTTTGGTTTGACCACCAGTAGCTCTTTTCCAACCTGATCCATCCTATGTCAGTTAATAATGCCCGTCGAGGAAGACCATGACTTGGCATGCGTAACACATGTCCTAGCCATCTCAATCAATGCAGATGCTAGTCGATTGGTTTCCCCTCCCTCCTTGCCTAGCACTCAACAGGTGCCTAACTTCGATATTGCTCACCATATCATACCACTTAACATGGGAGATAAAACGCAGACACCTATGATCGAAGGCAGCTCTCCAGGCTTTCCATGTCTTCCAATTTCAATGGCCATGTCTCACAGCCAACCACAAAGGAGGGCAGAGCGAATTTCTGGACAGTACACATGCCCTTTGGTCGACAACCAGCGGCATATCACGTCTACTAAGCCAGAGATGGCGTAAGTTAGCGTACGCCAAACGAGCCTTCTGCATCCGTGCTGAGATTTCGTCAGCGACCAACCCGCTGGCGTTGGCTGATGCAACTCCCCAAATAAGGGAAGTGGTCAACACGCTCTACCACACCACTCACTATCTTTGAGCTAGGAGTCAATGTAGTCCAGTTCAGTCCTGTAGCATCATCTTGCATTTTTTGATGGGAGCAGATTGCTGCTCCTCAAGGTGTTCAGAAGACTATGCATTTTGACAGCGTCTTCACCTAACAGGGAGGACTATATCATCTACATATTCTAAATCAACGAGATTATTCCTTGGTAACAAGTCAATCCCTGAGTCACTGAAGTCAGTCAAGGTTAAGTCCAGTAGTACATCTATCATGAAATTAAAGAGAAATAGAGACAGTGGGCATCCCTGACGGACACTAGTTGCCCAATAGTAAACCGGCATCACAAAGAGTTAAAGTTAAGAGATGCCAGCCAGTACCTGCTACGACCTTTCGACAGCAGCCAGGCATAAGCAACCGTCACATCTAACAATGTCTCGGTTTACATTTCACCTAAACATCCATAAACACTGAGAGAATGCGGCTTTCACATAACTTATAAACCAATATAAACAAGATTACCTCTATATACTTTATAACCTCTCCCAATAACTAATGGGTTGAAATCTAGAACCATCTATAGATTAGAACACCTGATCGTATTAGGAGTAGCCACATCATATTAATTTGTTTATTAGATATATCACACAGTGAAACAGTATTGTTTACTGAACGACATTTCGAACACAATTTATTGTTCATAATCATATCAATTATAACTACATAATTTCGCAATTTTTGTTTTATAGTTTCCTTCATTCATTCCTATTCGTCGTAAGGGTAGTTGAATTATCCAGATATCCTATTACACGTATTCTCTTTCAGTTGATTCGGAAGACAGAGAAAACCATAAAACGAAAGTTTCGAAGTTGTGTAGTTATGATTGACGATATGATTATGAACAATAAATTGTGCTCGAAACGTCATCCAGTAAACAATACTGTCTCACTGTGATGTATCTGATAAACAAATATCGAATCACATACAACCACAGTGCTCAAGTTTTACACATGTTAAGGAGTATTCATAGCCTGATTTATAACCTAGTAAGTCAGAAAAGCAGATTCCTTGATGCAGATGCTCCGACGTTCGAACGATAAAAATTATACACAGTGAAATTAAAATGGACGCTGTGGGTATTTTAATAGTATACAGTAGCACAGGAAACGTCCAAGTGACCAATTTTAGGTAGGAGCACTCCACCTAATGCTTTAACTGATGACGTCTTTGTAGTAAGCAAATAACCGTCTACGGCACCGTCTCTCAAAATGCAACCCAAACCATATTTATTATGAGGTCGCCAAACATTTCCCAGTTTGCAAGGTGGAGATTTGAAGGGGTACTACTGATTGCTGCGATGTACTTGAATTACGATAAAGAATGCTTAAATCACGAGACTTTTAATGATTCCAGAATTTCCACTTAAGCATTTAGAAAAAAACCATATATTCCTTTACAATCAGTTCCTTATCATCAGCTCTTAACTAATATACAGTTTCTTACATTAAAACACCATCAATCAAGTGGTTATTTTAGTTAATCAGTTTTAGGTATAGGGAAGTGAAATTAAGAGGTTAAAAGTCATTTAAACAATTGATAAACTAATAGATGTTAGTAACAAGATATCTAAGATTTGAAGGAGGGGTGTGAACTAATTACCGGATTCAAGATAAGTTGATTTGTAGGCGTTAGAGACAAGTTATTACATAATCACGGAATTTGTAAAATAATGATGACTAGGAAGAATAGGATGACTCAGAAGAATTACGTAAAACACAAACAAGTCAATGAATTTAGCTAGAATTGTAACAATGACGAAGTCAAACGATAGTTGCAAGGAGAGACGAAAAATTGCTTATAAAAATCTTGCGAGGTGGGATAAATTCGATAGACAACTTAAAAAGTTTTGCCAGAGTTGGATTGATGTCCAGTATCGGCTAGATGAGCTAGTATTGAGCTGCGTATAGCTATATTCGGACCTGTGCCAAACCAAGAAATTCGACGATGAACGTGTCTGATCGTACGCCCTATGTTACTAGCTCCGCACGGACAGTTTAACTGGTGAATATACATGGAAGAGGCGAATCAAGGCAGTTTGTCTTTAGTTCTTGAATTAAGTATTGGTTAGCCAGTAAATATACAGCATAACTTAGATGCATTAAAAGTCTTTTTGAAGGCTCTTAGGCGTGATAAGAACCATTGTTGAAATCTCTGAATTGTAATCTTAGGAAGACTGACTTTAAGGAACGATGAGCACCATGGACTTTTTACTTTCTGAGTTCATCTGCTTGTTCACGAATAAAGTCGGATGTCCGTTTCCACTTAATAGATCACGAATGCTACCGAGTTCGTCGTTCAGTGTCTCATTTGAACAGATAACTCTAGCCTCGTGAACCAAACATTTGACCAAATCTCGTTTGTATTGTAGGGGCACAAAACTGAAGAAGTGTGTATATTGTCCAGTTGAAGTAGGTTTCCGATGCAATCGCCTACATATTGTTCCGTCCGTTCGCTTAGTAACTAGGGTGTCCAAAAACGAAATTCATTTTCTTCTTCATTAATGGAGCTTATGCCAGGATGTGCTTTACTGAATTTCTCCAATATGTCCTAAGTCTGTCTTTCTAACAAAGTATTAAGTCTTCTAAAGTTTGGTTTGTAAGGATTAGTTATGTTTTACGAGTTGATCACGGATTGATATCAGTTAGAGAACCATTGAAAACCAGGGAGTACTGGACAGCTGCTGTTTCATCCTAGTTTGGGAATCATCGGCAGTACGCACCCACTGGGATTCGAACCCGGGACCTTCCGGTTACAAGGCAAGCTCGTATACCATTCAGCCACTGGGACCCGATTCAATGGCTCATGAATTCTAACTTCTACCAATTCGTGATTTTAGCGCGACCCCAACTATTGTCGTTGGTGGAAATCCATCCACACGTGACTTCTAATTGGACCTCACTGGTCACGACTTCTCACTAGAACTGCAGGAAGCTCCAACCTGTAGCAAGTCACTAGCGAGCATCAGAATAATCTTCTAAAGTTTGGTTTGTAAGGATTAGTTATGTTTTACGAGTTGATCACGGACTGATATCAGTTAGAGAACCAATTTTTCGTCTCTCCTTGCAACTATCGTTTGACTTCGTCATTGTTACAATTCTAGCTAAATTCATTGACTTGTTTGTGTTTTACGTAATTCTTCTGAGTCATCCTATTCTTCCTAGTCATCATTATTTTACAAATTCCGTGATTATGTAATAACTTGTCTCTAACGCCTACAAATCAACTTATCTTGAATCCGGTAATTAGTTCACACCCCTCCTTCAAATCTTAGATATCTTGTTACTAACATCTATTAGTTTATCAATTGTTTAAATGACTTTTAACCTCTTAATTTCACTTCCCTATACCTAAAACTGATTAACTAAAATAACCACTTGATTGATGGTGTTTTAATGTAAGAAACTGTATATTAGTTAAGAGCTAAAGGTGAAGTAGTTACAAAGGAGATTTTTCATCAAGTGTGAAACTAAGTGTCAAGAGGAATTATATACCTACGTATTTACTCATGACTCTTGACGACGAACAAAGGTATAAGAGAGGTTTCGTTATATATGAGTACATACATGCAAGTGGGCCATTCACTACCTGTGAGTATACAGCACTTCATTTCATTAGGTCAAGGTAAAGTAAATGACGATTGCGTAATGTTACGGTGAAAATATGTCATAAAATTAAAGTTAAAAACAACCACTGACCTGCCAATCCTGGTAGTTTTTCCCCTCCTCAAAGTGTAAAAGCAAGGAGACTGAACATGTTAAATGAGGGAACTCCTCTTCGGTTATTGGAGAGAAACGACTGTCTTTCATGGCACTACGTGATGCTAGATACATATAACAATTACAAAGTACCTGTTAATAGCATATTCACGGAGACCACTGTGTATATTCATGGCAGTAAATGTACCTATACATCCACGAAGCTTTTCATCTTTTCCGTAAGTCCATGTAACAAATAATGGGCTAAAATTCAATTTAATATGGTATTCTGAATTACTATGAACTATTCGGAAACGTTTTAGGGGCGGAAGGAGGTTCAGTATTGTGCAAGTGACTGTGAAGGACATCAAAACAGAAATAACACATTTCACGCCTAACAACTCCAGGTGCACTTAGCCCATTCCGTGGAACGCATGAGCGTGAGCTTGTCTCTTCATCCAGACGTTGCTTCTTAGCTCCAAAACAAGATGACGGAGCTCTAGAACGGGCCATCGACACCTTAATAAAGTTCGTGGCCCAATAATTCCGAAGGACCCGCCGTCCTTCACGTCCAACAAAGAAGAAGTAGCAAAAGACCTTTAAACATAACTAGATTCAATATCCAATAGCAAATAATTAAGAAGAAAAATTTGGGTAAACTGGAGCGATCTAACATTGTTGAAATCATACAGCGATTATTCTGTTTTAGATAGCTTCGATTTTCAGCAGATATAAAAAATGTGTTGCCACATAGTTACACCACAGTATGGAAGTCGCAATTCTCCAGCTAACATATTCACAGGGCACCTCTAACTTCAGATCCATTGCCCAATGATGCAAAAAAGGCTACAGTGAGTGAATAAGTAAAAACATTGCCCTGCCTAACATGTCTTCCAGATGATTCGTTATTTTGGAAACCCTGTGGAGGTTTATTAGGAATATCTTGAGATGTGTAATTATAAATAATAACAGTCCCGTAAGGTCGGTTGAGCACTGCTTCATCGTTTGTACGATCTAAAGATGTACTTTACGCAATGTGCCCTGATTAATCACTATTATTCCCTTGGGTTCTGTGTGAAACATAGGGCTTCAACAACAGATCTCCCCTTTGTTTTGTTTTCTATCATTCTGGTCAGCTGGGTCCTCGACCGCTCATAATCTCTCATTTCCTCCTCGCACGATCATGCCATATCTTCTTATCACCCTCAGATGATCCATACGTTGCTAAACATTCGGAATCCACTTCACTGATGGCCTGATGCTCAATGTTACACAACGGTCTTCCCAATGCTTGGCCATCTCTATTTTCTTCTGTTGTGCGTCGGTGGCACAGTGGTTAGGACTCTCGCTGACCATGCACATGGTCCGGGGTTCGATCCTCTACCGGCGCACACCCGATATCTATGGTCGGCCTGAATTCGGGCTACCGATATCCATGCTGAAAATTCCATACTTGTACTGAAAATGCAGTGTGGAATCAAGCTGTAAATGAAAATAAAAAAAGTATATTTGTGGAGTAGTAGGCCCTTGGTTGGTTTGTTGCCGGAGTTTATTGTTGCCAATTCTTTCGCAGTCACCATCTAATCTTAATTATGAAGCCTGAGAAGGCAGGTGTCAATAAAAGTTTGTTGTTTGTGCTGCGGTGGAGTGCAGAAGACTTTCAAAATTATTTCAGATTCATGTCGGCTTGTCTTGTTCTCGGACCCGACCCTGGCCAGCATTGACACCATGCGTTCTACCAGTGGTTGGAACCCAGATAATTGAAGGACGCAACCTCTGGTAAACCTCTCCCGTTGATGGTGGTTGGTTCTAGATGTCGTTGTTGTCACTGTTGGTTGGCTGTCTCCCTTACCCCAGCCTTCTCTATGTTCACCTAGAGTCCTGGATTTGTTGCCTGCTTCTTCAGCCAGTTTGTTGGCTTTTGCCTTCAAGTGTTCGAGTTTGTGTAACATTAAACATATACCATCTGTGAAGTCCATTTCTTTAGGAATCTTCTTATCGGTCGTCCAGCGTATCCCTAACTCCTCGCTCCCTACAGTCTGGCGCACAATCCACTCCACCACAGTCAATAATGTCATCGGTGATAGACAGCCAGCTTGTCTTAATCCTGTATTCACTTCCGATGCCTCACTGAGTTTCCTGTTGCGGATCACCTGACACATGACAATCTCCTATAGCCAGCTGTTGGATGAGGTTCCCAAAGATTTAGCGCACGCCGTGGTGTTGAAGTAGTTTCCGAATTACCTCTCGGTTGACTCTGTCGAAGGCCTTTTTGAAGTCATTGAAGTTGAGACAGGGTGAGGTTTGACCACCATACTACGCTTTGTTCTGTGGTGACGATGCCTAGAGTTGCGTAGAGTCTGATGACCACATGATTTGTTTTTCCTGGATCCAGCTTGTTTCTGGTAAGCGGAGCTCTGTATCCAGTGCGTCCTTGATTCTCTCCAGGATGATGCCACTCAGGATTTTACTTGGCGTCGACAGGAGCATGATTCCTCGCCAGTTCTTGCAGAGTCCTAAGTCGCCCTTCTCTAGTAATTCCACGAGGTAACCTTTCCTCCAGTCAGTAGGCACCTTTCCCTCCTTCCAGACCTTTTGCAATAATGGAGTCAGCATATCTGCTGTCGTCTCTGGGTCCGCTTTCAGTACTTCCGGGGGTATTCCATCTGGTCCAGCTGCTTTTCCAGCTTTCGGAAGCTTGATTGCATCCAAGACTTCAGTTTTCGTTGGAGGATCGGCGTCAACTTGAAGTTGTGTATGTGCTGCTGTTGGTATTTCTGGACGGGTTGTAGGTGATGGTCGGTTCAAGAGTCCTTTGAAGTGATCCGCCCATTGTTTAATCTGTCTTTCTTCCTTGGTAATTGGCTTCCCTTGGCTGTCTTTTATAGGTTTCACTTGTGTTGATCTCTTCCCGGATAGAGACTTGGTTATCTGATATAATGTTCTCAGAGCCCTTTTGCCTGCTGCCTTCTCAGCTTCAGTCGCCAGCCAGCATGTCGTGGAATTGTCTTTTGTCCTTCCTGGCACTCTTCTTCACTTCTTTGTCCAGTGCTGTGTAAGTTGAGCTCAGCGTCTCCTTCTCTTGTCCATCTTTTCATTGAACCATTTTCTCTATCACCTTTCTCCTCTCCTCTATTAGTTTCCAAGTGTCTGTTGAGAGCCATTCCTTGTCTTGTTTCTTCTTTCTTCCTAAAACCGTTGAACACGTTTCGTTGAAAATTACCTTCAGAGAGTTCCAATGGTCTTCCACGCATGATTCCTCAGTGATGCCACATAGTGTTTCCTGCTTTGATCTGACAGTTGCAGTGAAAATGTCCTGTGTGGTTATGTCCTTCAGTTCTTGCGTGTTGAACTTGCATTGTGGCCTATCCCCAGCTATCCTCGAGGCTTTTAGCTTCACCTTGAAAGTCTCTTGTACTAGATAGTGGTCTGAACCCACATCTGCTCCTCTCCTCGATCTTGTGTCCAGTAGGCTCCGTCTCCACTTCCTTGAGATTGAAATGAAGTCTATCTGGTTTTTGGTGTGTCCATCTGGTGAAATCCATGTCGCCTTGCGTATATCCTTGTGTTTGAACACACTGCCACCAATCACCAAATCATTGAAGGCACAGAAGTCTGAGAAGAGTTCACCGTTGTCGTTCATTTCACCGAGGGCCTCACGACCCATGGTGAGTTCTCTTCCTCTGTTGTCTCCTCCCAGTTTCGCATTCATGTCACCCATCAGGAATTTGATATCGCTCTTTGGGACGTTGTCCATTACTGTTTGTAGCTGTCTGTAGAAGGCCTCCTTCTTCTCTTGTTCTAAGACGTTTGTAGGCGCATGGCATTGAATGATTGTAACCTTCCTTCCTTTTGAGTTGAACCTGGCTGTCATTATCCTGGAGGAGATTGGTTCCCACTGCATGAGAGCTTTAGCTGCTGCTGGTGACATCATGATGGCTACTCCCTCGGTGTGCTCGTGATTGTCCTCTGGGTGACCGGATTAGATTATAGTGTCTCCAGTTGGTGGTTGGTACCTTCCACATCCGTTCCATCTGCTCTCGCAGATTCCCAACACTTCTATTTTATATCTTCTCATTTCTGCGGCTACCTGGGCAGCCTTTCCAGCTTCGTACACTGTACGAACATTCGACATCCCCATCCTTATTTTTGCTTTCACCGGAAGGAGGCACATCGGCTGACTGGCTTCCCGAAGGCTTTTACCAGCCTGCATCATTTCACTTCCCCGATTCCAGCGAAAAATAAGGTTATTGTTTATGTTTTTAGAATTTTTAATATATTTGTGCAGTTTGGTTAAGTTTTGGGGGTGGAGTTGCTAGCACCACGACCCAACCTTCCCTCTTTATCTGGGCTTGGGACCGGGTAGAAAACTAGTGACCTATTAATCTAGGCGAGGTTATATCTGAACTAAGGACATTACTGTTCATCGCCAAGCCTACTGTAGCTCTGATAACTGAATCATGACGCTCATCCTCTATACTTGATGTGCAGATAGGTATAGATGATTACACTGGACACCATGCAGATAGAGATTGCAAGCGTGGTGGAGGTTATCCCATATATACACATAACTCATTAGTGGTCAGCAAGGTGGAAGATGAAATACTGAATGAGGTACGTGATTCACTCTGGATCGTCTTACATGGAAATAAGTACAAAATTCTCATAGGCTGTGTTTATCCAGCACTATGCTCAACCAAAGAAACTGATGCGTTATTAGCTAAATCGCTTGCACACGCCTCCTCGTCTAATACTAATTACAAAATAATTGCAGGGGACTTCAATCTTCCAGACTTCAACTAGTTAAGTAGATCCAGGCCCCAATACTTCAACGAATTACTCTCCACTGTCGATTTTTATGGATGGCAACAACACGTCCGGACACTTTCCCGTGGTAACATCATGTTGAGCCTTGTTTTTTGTCATGACACAATCCCAGTCTCTTCCTATGTTGATAACAGATTTTCCAGTAGTGACCATAGAGTGCGTCGGTGGCACAGTGGTTAGGACTCTCGCTGACCATGCACATGGTCCGGGGTTCTATACCCTGCCGACGCACAGCCGATATCTATGGTCGGCCTGTAAATTTCGGCTACCGATATCCATGCTGAAAATTCCATACTTGTACTGAAAATACGGTGTGGCATCAAGCTGTAATAAAAATAAAAATAAAATAAAAATAGAATGGTACTCTGCTCTCTGCCTTTCTCACCAATAAATACAGGAAACCAAAAAGATTCAGGGAGCATGATATGCCGTAGTTACAGACATACAGACTAGGGATTAGTTCAAGAACCCATTCGACAATGGAATGACTATTTTGCCACCGACTCCATGGAGGATGTAATGTCCCTATTTTACAGGAATGTTATCCTTTGTCCGGATACTGTTGCTCCTAAGAAGATAGCGAAATCAAGTAGGCACCGACCTGAATATATCCCAATAGCATGTCGCAATAAATTGAGAAAGCCGATGAAACAGTACTACAAAATAATCTACAATGAGCCTGCCACCACCTGTGAAGTTTTCAGTGAGTGGTTTGCGAACTTCAGTTCATAAACGCACACCACCGGTGAAACCGTACCTTTCACCAACTCCTCCTTCTAGGGCATAGTGTTCACCAATCAATTAATAGAACAATGAGTTAAAAGCCTTAGACCTTCTACTGGCACGGGACCGGATGGCCTTGCTTCTATAATTTCCAAAATCAAAGGGTGTAACATTCCCTTTAAATTCTTAAATTCTTCTCAATATCTGTG